CCTGGTCCTGGGGAGCGGTGGAGGGCTGGCTGCCAGTGGCTTGCTGGCTCATGTTTTGGGGCCACTGGGTCAGGGCAGTGACTGCTGGCTCTGGGCTGGCAGGCTTGGAGCTGCCACAGGCACTGTGGCCAGAGTCAACCCCTTTAAGGGCTCTGGGGAGTGGGGAGGGAGAAGAGTGTTCTTGGTTGAGGCTATAGTGGCCACAAGGGCACCCTGGGAAGGCTGGAGGCCCCCTATTTCGAAATAAGTGTCTACACAGCACTTATTTCGAAATAGCTATTTTGAATTTGGTGTTATTCCTCATGGAATGAGGTTTACCAAATTCGAAATAAGCGCTCCGCTATTTCAAATTAATTTCGAAATAGCGGTTTGGCTGTGTAGATGCTAGTAAAGTTATTTCAAAATAATGGCTGTTATTTTGAAATAACTTTTCTGTATAGACATACCCTTGGAGAACGTAACTGGTCAGGATCAAAAGTCTTCACGTTTAAGAAAATTGCTGCTTTTCCACAGCCAAAGAGGACTCAAAGTTCTCAAATCCTTGAGTTCTATATGTAGACCAGTGTTTCTGAAAGCGTTCCACGGAATCACTTTGAGAAACACATTAACTGGCCTCCCCGGTTTGTTTATTTACTGGCGCCGCAGCCATGGAGCCTTGTGGCTCCCATTGGCTCTGTTTCATCTTTTGCAGCCACGGGGAGCTGTGGGAAGTGGCATGGGCCAGGCCACCACTTCCTGATGCTTCCTTTGGCTGTAAAGAGCAAAACGGAGCCAATTTAATGTGTTTTCTCAAAGTGATTCTGCGGAACACTTTCAGAAACACTGATGGAGAGGAACACCAACATCTCACAACCTGCTGTCAATTGGTGCCCTCTAGGTGCAACTTGTAGTTTAGGGTTACTGCGTTTCTTTTCATAGTCTTGGGTAACAAGTGTGACATACAGTACATACTTGGGCATTAAGGGGGAAAAAGTCCCTGCTTTAGGGCAATGAAGTCTGCTTTGAATTAGCTCATTTATTTAAAAAAAAAATACTTTTATTAAGACAGAATTACCTCCTTTTTCTTACCAATATTGCCAGCTGAAAATCAGGCAATGTTCTCTTTGCCTCTAATGCAATCCCCGTTTATAAAGATTTTGCTGTCACGGTTTAGCTGACTGATATCTTGCTGAGTCACAGACAGACTATATTCCATCTAGTTCGTCTATCCATGTATTGAGGGAATAGTCCACTCCAGTGTGCCACAGATATAGGCTCTGGCTTTCTGATTTACTGAGTATCTCTGGGCCATGCTTGCTTTGAAAGTAGCAGCAGGGTACATGTTCTTCAGGAGAACCACCTAGCGATAGGGGAATTGATTACATATATAAACTCGTACCTTTGCACTTCAGGCAAGAAAAGCACTATGGTTTTGTTTATTCTCTCTTTATTGTTGAAGCTGAGCAAACAATATATTTTTCAGTTCATTTGCAATTCTGGAAAAGTAGAAAAAGGAAATTAGTTTTGTTTAATCCAAAATGATGCATTTTGTTTAAATTTCGGACTTTTTTTCACTCTTAAAACTTTGAAACAAAAAATCATCAATTAAGAAAAATCTAAATATTTAAGTTTTTTTTCATTAATATTTTCCTTGATTCTCCTGATCTCTTTCCCCCCACCCCGTCCCTAGTTCCTCCCAAACAAAACAGTTTGATTAAATTGACATGAATTTATTACATGTTTTGATAGCCCCAAATCTGCTTTTTTTTTAGGGTGCTGGGGGAATGTTTCAGTGGAAAAATTTTGCCCAGCTTTGCTCATAGTTTCCTTCTGTCTGGCCAAGTGCAAAACATACAGGAGTTGAGTTTGCAAGTGGAAATTAAAACCCAGCAGCCTAGAACTTTGAAAAAACAACAAACGGTCTGGTAGCACTTTATAGACTAACGAAACATGTCGATGGTATCAGAAGAGTTTTAAGATGACAGGAAACTCTGCCCCATGGGGATGGGAGTTAATACTCTGATTTTGATTGAGGAGTGGCCTGACCAAAGATTAACTGCATTTAAAATCTCCTTAGATGATTGAGCCAGTGGATGTATTCTGGAAGTGCAACCTAGCCAATCCGCACACAACTCACTGCTTGGGCAATGGTGAGATCATGATCAGCACTATGGGAGACCCGTCTGGCAATGGCAAAGGTATTTATCCTCCTTAGTCATTCAAGAGAGTACGGGGACAGTACGGTGGTGCACCGCTCTGGTAAGAGGGAGTTGGCTAGCGCTGAGACACTCCACAGCAAGTGGAAGAGACATGATGTGCTCCTATTTAGGCTCCTGGGGCTCTACTGCAGGCTGGCAGTGTCCCCACAAGCAGCAGCGGGCAGCCAGGTGGATTAAAAGGGCCAGCTGTGAGGGGGGACACACTATAAGAGGTGTGTGCACATCCAGATGGGCTCCTGGTGTCCATATCTGACCTGTGCTGCTGCACCTCTCTCACCACACTTACAGGACATCAGGCAATACAGGAAGAAGAACAGCAGCATGGGGCAGGGACCCAGCAGTCAGCCAGGTAACCCGGCCTGCCCAGGGACTGCCGCAGGGCAGCCCCAAGACACCCCATCATTCTGGAATTGCCTGATTTCCCCCCCACCCATGTTGCCAAACTCCATGTCTTCACTCCTCCACACATACACCCATCTCCATCCCCTCACCTGATTCCCCCATGCCTCCCAATCCACTGCCCTGAGCCCCCGCACTCTATCCCATATTTAAATTTCTTACAGATATTGTTGTATCACAATACCCCCTCCCCCAGCACCTGCCTTGACCCGACTCCTCCCCTCCACCCCCAGTACCTATAAGAAATGGAAGTCACTTTCACCCCTGCAAGAGAGGGAATCCTTGCTACAGAACTGAAAGCCTTATTGAGATCTTGCAATCCCTTTGTGCTGCTGGCCATTAGCAGTCCTGGAGTCTAAAGTTCTCTGCTTAACTACAGAATAGGTACTTCAGGAGGAATGGCAGAGCAATTTCACACCTTGTCATTCAATCCTGATTAGGAGACATCCCCTCAGGGTAATAGGAGTATCCAGAATGCATCATTCAGTCCTTGAGAGCTGTGAGCCTAACAAGGTGACAGCTGTGTCTGTGGTGTGGGCACCTGCCCGCAGGTACTGCAGAACCAGGCAGTTTGGGGCTCCTGATTTTCCTCTGAATCAGGCTTTTCTATTTTTCTGATTTGCACCCAAATAGTCTTGTGCCAAACCACTCTTATATCGTTCCCTGAAATTTTAGAATTGGATCAGATGCTGCCTTCCAGAGTTTTTTCATATAGAACAACAGAAATGCCATTGAGTTGTACTGGGCTTCACTTTGCTTGGCCAGTTGACATATATGTCCGGTTAGGAACACTTGTATGTTAAGAGAATTCCCCGTTGAATCTTTGGTAGGAAAAACTCTGAGTTATGTTGATGCCTGTTGGAAATATTAATGAAATCTCTTGCAATGGAAAGTACAGAAAAAAACCATCTCTTTACAGAATGCTTTCACCACCCTCCTCAGAGTACAGGAAATGTGCTACAGACTATTTGAAGAGGAGTTCACTCTGACATTGTATCTTATCCTGCTTGAACTCTTACATTGTGCATTGTTTTGTTTCGGTTTTGGTCTCAGCTGGCTTTATCTTGCTCGATGGAAAGACTTTTGAGGTGAAGGGGAACTGGGAGAAAGGATCCAATATCCCTGCGCTTGGCTATGACTTCTGGTACCAGCCACGGCATAATGTCCTGATGAGCACGGAATGGGGAGTCCCAAAAGTCTTGGCATATGGTTTAGACCCAGCAGACCTAAAGACTGGTGAGGGCATGCTTGTTTAAAATTTTGTGAAATTCTGGTCCGGTTTCAGTAAAGCAAGGATTGCATGCAGTGACTCTTCTATGGAAGCTGGTGATTTCATCAGAGTGCATAAGCAAAATTATCATGTTAAGATGTCTACAGCGCTAGTCTATAGCAGTTGTTAATGATCACAATATATATGGCTCCAGACAAAGCAGACAAATGTACTGTAAGTGTTCTTTAAATAGACTGAGCATCAGAAGTTCAGCAAAACCTTAGGAACTAGACTTTCCATACGGGCTGATATAGACTTGTACCCAGTATCAGAATTCAGCTATGCAGGGTAAGGGGCATCTTAATTTAGTCTGTGGCCACCTTGTCCTTCCCAGTCACTGCAATGGGAAACAATGGCAGACCCAAAGGCTACGTCTACACTGGCACCCTTTTCCGGAAATGCTTAAAACGGAACAGTTTTCCATTATAAGTATTTCTGGAAAAAGCGCGTCTACATTGGCAGGATGCTTTTCCGGAAAAGCACTTTTTCCGGAAAAGCGTTCGTGGCCAATGTATTTTGTGGAAAAGACTACTGTGCTGTCTACACTGGCCCTTTCCGGAATAGTTTTTCTGGAAAAGGACTTTTGCCTGAACGGGAGCAGCATAGTTTTTCCGGAAAAACACTGACAATTTTACAGTAGATCGTCATTGCTTTTCCGGAAAAGCAAGCGGCCAGTGTAGACAGCTGGCAAGTTATTCCGGAAAAGCGCCTGCTTTTCCGGAATAAGTGGCCCAGTGTAGACACAGCCAAACTGTTGGGGACCACACATGCTGCTTTTGAAAAGACCTGCATATAGCTAACCTGGTGTGTGCAAACCTAAGAGTTCAATGAATGGAGGCCCTCTGGTCTCCCTATGAACACATTCTATCTCTGTTTTCTACTGGACACAAGTCAAGGGGTTGTGGTGTGACAAGAATCGCACAATCTGACGCTTGACTCCTCACCTGTGACAATTTTAAAATGGATGAAGGTTTTTGGCATGCTCATATGGTTGAGAGTCAATGCCCATTTGCTATGCTCTTGAGCACTTGAAACCTTTCATATAATCATTGGTCTGAAAGGGACCCGAGAGTCCATTGGTGCAGTTCTCTGCACTCAAGGCAGGACTAAGTATTATTATCTGGCTAGACAATCTCTGACAGGTGTTTGTCTAACTGTAGTATCTATAATGTAGACACAACTCCTTGGCTGTGCTCTAATAATAAAGATTTCATAACCTCCCTAGGCAATTTATTCCCGTGCTTAACAAGATGGGCACCAGACACACATCCCAACCATCCCTCTGTATAATGATGCTAGAGACTAATAGATCTGGGTAACCATTGCTCAGTCAGTCCATCATTTAAATCTCTTGTGAACCAATGAGTCACCTGGATAGGTTCTATCAGAGAGAAGTACATAAGAACGGCCATACTGGGTCAGACCAAAGGTCCATCTAGCCCAGTAGCCTGTCTGCCAACCGTGGCCAGCACCAGGTGCCCCGGAGATGTCCCTCATTACTAAACTTTTTGGTGAAAATTAAAACAAAAAAGCCATTTTTTTATCTGCCATTTCCATATTTTTTTATATTGTTTTCCCTTCCCCCCTCATTGAGTAATGGGCCTATCTTGTCCTTTGTTTTCCTCATGTTCTCATGTATTCCTCTAGGAAAGGCTGCAGCTACAATAACTCTCCTTGCCAGAGGTATTTAATAGCTTAGCTGTCAGTCTGCACTCTCCAAATTGGTTTTTCTCCAAGGCTAAAATCAATTCTCCTGACTTGATTTTGTTTGACTTGATCTCTCAGGGCGCTATGGCCGTTACATTAACGTGTGGGACTGGACCACTCATGTCCTCACCCAATCGATTGACCTGGGGGAAGACTCCATTCCTCTGGAAATTAGATTTCTCCACAATCCAGATGCAGCAGAGGGATATGTTGGCTGTGCTCTGAGTAGTGCAATCCATCGCTTCTACAAGACAGAGGTAAGCTCTCTAGCAGCATGTGGCAAAAAGCAAGCATATTAAACATAAGCATATTTCAGAAAATCACATGGCCATTTAGTGGGAATCATAGATTTGGGCAGCATCTTTTTTTTTTTTTTTTTTTTTTTGGTGCATCCAAGTTCACTAAGTTGTGTAGCTCTATGAAATAATGCATCTCCCAGACAGACTATGTACAGAGCCAAATCTTTGGTCTAGCAGGCCCAGGAAAATACTATTTGTTCCCAGAGGAAATCAGTAGTCCAATACAAATTATTAGACTGGAAGCTCCCACAAACTCTTAAAGTTCTATGTTTTGGGCTAAGTTTCTGAATTCTCAGTGTCGACTGAGCCCTGCCAATGCCTTTACAAAACAGTAAACATTTGGAAATAAGAGGTAGTTAACAAATCCAGTACTTGCTAGATTGGGAGCCCAAGAAGAGCCAATATCCCGTGTGAAACAATATGCCCCCAGTCTCTAACCACTTTAAAATGAACAGTTCAGCTCTTGAGAAATGGGTGGCTTGGAGAGGTCTTGCCAAACAATCTGTTCTTACAATAGCGTTCTTGTTCTGACTGCAATTAATTTGAGAGGACAAGTTAAGTGAGGTAATATCTTGTACTAAAACAACTTCTGTTGGTGGAAGAGACAAAGCTTTCAAGAATACTCAAAGCTCTTCTTCAGGTCTGGGGAAAGTACTTTGTTCACAACTAAGTACAAGGTAAAGTTCACATAAAAGACATTTATTTTGCATCTTATGGTGGATTTAGAGAACAGCTTAAGTGGTATTAAATGGATTTTCCAAGATGCGTAGATCATTATCTAGACTCCTTACAGTGAACTAACTGGCACACTGGCTGCTGTATTTTCCCTCCCATGTTCTTTATGTTCTGTGCTAATGGCTTGTGCAAAGTGGTTGTATTGGGGAGATACAGCCTCAGTTCCATAGACTGCACCAAGCCTCCAAACCCTTCATGGTTTTCCCCCTCTCCTTGGCCTATACCTAAAAGCTAACTTGATCCAGGGTGGCCAACAGATTTTATCAGATGGTGGACAAACTGAGGCTGGGTCAGGCCTGGCTCTGGGCCCCCAGAATGGGTGGGGACTCAGAAGGAAGGTATAGGGTTGGTGGCTACTTCCCTCTAACCATACCTTCAGTGCCCCTCAGAGTGCACCACCTGGGGCTCTGTCAGTGATTTAAAGGGCCCAGAGCACCAGTCCTGCCATTGCCATGGTAGCAGGAGCAGCGGCCAGGAATCTTGGGCCCTGAAGGGTCTGGGGATTAAGTGGACCTTGCATGGCAGCATTAGGGTTCGCCCGCCCACCTCCTCCTCACCCACTGTGGCAGCAGGAGCATAAGTGAGCAGCTTGCTCCACTCTGCCCTGCCACCCTCTTCTCCCAGCCTGCTGCGCTCCGCTTCTCTGTAGCAGGGGGAAGCAAAGCTCCCCGACGAAGCTGGGCACAGTGGGATGGAAGGTCAGGGCAGAGCGGAGCAGGTTGCTAGGCTGTTCTAGCTTTCACCACCTCCTCCTCACCCACTGTGGCAGCAGGAGCATAAGTGAGCAGCTTGCTCCACTCTGCCCTGCCACCCTCTTCTCCCAGCCTGCTGCGCTCCGCTTCTCTGTAGCAGGGGGAAGCAAAGCTCCCCGACGAAGCTGGGCACAGTGGGATGGAAGGTCAGGGCAGAGCGGAGCAGGTTGCTAGGCTGTTCTAGCTTTCACCACCTGTGGGGTGAGTGGGGAGGGAGGTGACCCCTCTCCAGCTGTGGGGTGAGTGGGGAGGGAGGTGAACCCTGCTGCCACTGTGCCATGCCCCCATAATTGTCTGGGCCATGTTTCTCGGGAGAGGGAGCCAGGTGGTGGGGTGAGGCTTGGGGAAGGGGTGGAATGGGCGTGGGGCCTGTGGGAGTGGGCTTACCCCAGCCCCTGTACCTAGGATACTGAGGGGGGGTGTTGCCCCAGGCCTCTGCACCCCCCCTCAGGATGGCCTGATGTGGGCTTTCCAGGACAGGTGCCCCCTTGGCCTGGGTTGATTTAGCTAAATCACATAACATTCACATCCCAGAGAGACTTAGGTAAATTGACTAAAGCCCTGGTACAGACACTGCTAGGACAATGGATTCTTCCATACACCTAGCTGCAGCCTCTCAGAGGGGTGATTAACTCAGAACCCTGTATGTTGATGTAGCACATGTCTACACTGCAGCAGCACTGTTGTAGTGCCGTAGCTGTGCCACTGTAGCATCTGTAGTGTAGACACAACCCCTCGTCTGTGCTCAAAACCTAAGCTATTGTTGAGGTCCAATGAACTATGCTTCTATTTTTAGTACTGACAGGTGGTGTAATCATTAACTCTGTGCTTCCAATTAGTCGCTTATTTACTATTCACCTTGATTGTTAACGTATATTTGCAGTACCTTGGTATATTCTAGGTACACACTATCACGTACTTAGTCTGCCTCTGCCTTGCATAACTGAGTTCTTGTTGACTTACCGCAATGGAATATTATGTTTACTCTTGACAGAATGGAAATTGGGCAGCAGAGAAGGTGGTCCAAGTGCCCAGCAAGAAGGTGGAGGGTTGGATGTTTCCTGAAATGCCAGGTTAGTGAAAGCACATTTAAAAATGTTTCTCCAGCATGTATCAGGTTCTGCAGCTAGGTTGAGCATCTTGTCAATGAACGGCAAACACTTTTTGCAGGAAACATATGGAGGAGCTTATTAGTTATACAAGTACTTAGGCATACCTTCAGAAAATTGCAAGTAACCCTCAAATGGCAAATCTATTTGTATTAAGACCTGCCAATGTGTGTTGGGAGTGGAAGTCTGGCTCATCTTAACTGAAGCTCTAAGGAGGGGGCCAGCATCTCGTCCAATGGAAGATTCTTCTGCTATACCCTTTGAACTCCAAGATGGATCCTTTGGACCATTACCCGTTAATCATCACTCTCACACAATAGTTATCACCTTCTCCCTGAGGTAGCTGGTTGCCCTTGAGCAGATATATGGGAGGGTGAATGCCAACTGGCCCCGGTATTTGGGGCACCCCTTCCTCATCTAAAGGGACTTGCGGGTCTCTCAACTGAGATCCGGATCACTGGTTGGCCCACTTTCCAATTGGACCTTCTCCTTTCAATCCATGCCTCTGGTCCTTCCACATCTCCAATTTAACGACCATAACATCACTGCCTGCAGTTTTCTCCCCATGCCCCCAATGGTAGAAACAGTGTCTGTAAAGCACCAACATGTCTCTCCAGCCCATGGAGGACTCATTGCCACATCGAGTCTTCTTTTTCCAGGCGTGGTTTTATTCTCCTTCTATAAAACTTAAGCAAAACCTCAAAACAAAAACTGTTTCTCGGCCCGGCCTTGGCTACAGTTCCCAGTGGCTTTTCCCTGTTTCCTTTCTGTCCTTCCTATTTCAGGGCTGACTACTGGAGGCCATCTTCCTCTTGTCCTTCCTCAGCCCTCCTTCAGGCCATTTGCCTTGAAGTTACCTTTCTCCAGCACCTCCCTGAGGTGCCAAGAACTCTTCTGTAGCTTGTCTTGCTGGCAGATCTTTCATCCTTTGTAGCCATCTCAGGACCCCCTCCCAGCTAGGCACAATAATTAAACAGCTACATAGTCTAGCTCAGTGTTTCTCAACCAGTGATATGAAAACCCTTAGGGGTACTTGAGAGAAGTCTGGGAGATACGTCAACACACCTGAAATTTGGAGAAAACTGAATTTTTGTTTTAAGTTTTACAGCAATTTATTATTTTTGTACTTTTTACATCCAAAAATTTCATCGCCTGCTCAGCTACGATTAAGTTGTTTAAACAAGTGTGTTACAATGGTAGAAAAAAATGTGTGTGTCTGAAAACTGTAGGTACTGGGGGTACTTATAATTTGTTTTTTTAAAAAGGGGTACTTTATAAAAGAAAGGTTGAGAAACACTGCTCTAGCTGACCTAGATCAGATAGAAAGGTAGCCATTCAATCATAGATGAGTCTGGGTCCAACTCCTACAGATGCCAGCCTGTGCGGGGAACCTATTCCTTCCCAAAGCAGCTTAAACACGCCGATCCTGGATCCATGGATCAGTTTGGATTCTCCAACATAGTGTCCATGTGGATCATGCTAATATTCTATCACTAGCTGCTGACTGAGAATACTCTAGCTTGAGGAGTAGGTTCTGGTCAGCTGTTCTTGTGAACTACCGTGCAGGAGACTGGGTTTGGTTCCTCCACCCGTGTGGGCTGCTTGGAGTTTGAAAGACAGTGCTTGGGGCCCGGGTTTCATATCTGAACTAGGTTTGTCTGATGTGGGTCTGTGCTGAAGTCCTGTGGCTGGGATTCTAAGCGAGACTGATCCATGGCCATGCGAGCTGCTCTCTCAGTGTGTCCTGACTCTACCTCTGTCTGCTCTCTCTAAGGTCTCATTACTGACATCCTGATCTCACTGGATGACAGGTACCTGTATTTCAGCAACTGGCTCCATGGAGACATTCGCCAATATGACATCTCCAACACTCGGAAGCCCAAACTGGTGGGACAGGTAAACCAGAGTCATAAAAGCTTCTTTTACTCGGTTGTGAAGCTGGGGAACCCCATCTCTTTAGGAGAGAAAAGGATAGTTTTATTTTGCACCGGGGATAGATGGTCAGTTCCGTGCCTTCATGGCCGTATTCCTTTCATACATGCAGACCCTCCTGGGCATGCTAGACGGGGGAAGGCGTTGCCTTCCCAAACTGCCAGCCTGGTTCTGTCCACACTCCACCCCAGAACGCCTACTGTAGGCGTTCTGGGACGGAGTGTTGCTGCCCCCGAGCACCTGCCCTCCCCAGGCTTTAGGGCCACAGAGGCTGGAACTGTGGGCCCTCCTCCCTCTCCATGCTTCAGGGCCAGGGAGGCTGGGGCCATGCCCCCTCTGCCCCCTCCCTGCTCGGGGCCGGGGGGGGGGGGGGGGGCCGGGGGCCCCCCACCCTCCCTGAGCTTTGGGGCCAGGGAGGCTGGGGCCTGTGCTGCCACCTCTGTGGTGCTGTGGGGATAGCTTGGGGCCTGGGCAGAAGGGGCAAGGCTGTGGGCTTGTCTTCCCCAGCCCTACCTTCACTCACTGCCCATGCAGCCCCTGATGTCTTTGTGGCACATCCCTTTGTTTACAGGTGTTCCTGGGAGGCAAAATCCCAAGAGACGGGCCAATAGTGGTGGTGGAAGACCACGAGCTGAACTGTCAGCCAGAGCCTTTTGTGATCCAGGTGAGCAATGCTGGCTCTTTCCCCACTCCTCCATTAAGTCTCATCTCTACTGGCAGCTCTCTCAGTGCATGCAGCTCACACTTCCTATGTGAGTGCCAGATTCTGCACATTTTACTAAGGGAAAACTGCCATCTATGTACAATAGGACTTTTGTGTCACTAGATGCTGTGTAATGAGGCCCTTTCTGGCATAACCCAGTCTATGTATGTAGCTGGGACACATCCCAAGAACCAGAGGCATGGATTTAAAGGAAAGAATCCAACTGGAAAATGCACTCCCCCTTGAACAACTAATGATTTCAGCAAGCAGTCAATCTTGATTAGAACTGAACTTTGCCCAAATGCTGGGGGTCCCCACCCCAAGAATCTAGGAATGCTGGCTGGCTGATGTTCTGCCAGGAGCAGAATCTGCCATGCTGATGGGCTCCCTGTTGTTGTGTTCTTCTTTCCTTGTGATGCCACTGCCAGCTTATAAACCCAAGTCTTGTTTTCCTGTAACACCAGGGGAAGAGAGTTCAAGGTGGACCTCAGATGATCCAGCTGAGCTTGGATGGCAAGAGACTGTATGTCACCACTTCCCTCTACAGCGCATGGGACAAGCAGTTTTACCCAGATCTTGTCAAGTAAGAAACCTTTCTTGGATGAGAAAACTTACGGCCATAGGCAGCTGTGCCTACTGCAGAAGCCCCTCAGTGGAAGTGGGTGATGTTTGTTTGCAGCACCTCCAATGACGCATGGATGTGGGCAGGAAGAAGGGACATAAAACCCTGTTTAATTGTTTAAATGATTAAAGGGCGAGCAGGGGGGACTGCTCCAGGTCCAGTAGGGCTGGAGCAGTCGTCCCGGTTGCTGCAACCAGGCAGGAGCACAAATACACACCCTGCTGCAGATGGAGGCTGCTGCAGCTGGCCAGAGCAGCCCCTAACTATGGTGAATCCCACAGGGCTGGAGTAGCCCCCTGCCCATGGTGAGCGGGGGACTGCTCCAGTCCTTGCTGGTTAACCATTCACCTCCCTCGCAGGAAGACTGGCTTTATTAGCTCGTTGCACACTACTAACCTACATGAGGGTTTAACACACCTGTAAGAATTAGCCCACATTTTATAGGTACAACAGAACATGAGCATCTGCCCACTTTAACAGTGTCTGATGTTGAAATCATTCTTCCAGTCCTGCAGCAGGGTGGTTGGGGAAGAATTCATTAGATAACCTAGCCTACGGGAAACCTATATTCTTCTCCGGGTGATGTCCCTGTGGGTACTCCACTATTGGTGACAGGACATCCCGTCACCGCAAAGCAGAGCTTTTTTGAGCAGTTGTCAGCAGGCCATGTGTGTGCGCAAAGAGCGCCGAGCGCCACTCTCACTTTGGTGCCCTATGCACACAACCCAACCTCCCTCCTCTCCCCCCCTTCAGTACCTCTTCTACTGCCTTTGGTCACAGACGGAGCTCTTTGTTCACCTCAATGTTTCATCCTCCTCACGGAGAAAATGAGTTAGCCTTATCCCTTCTCTTCAGATTATTATTATTATTTGTGTTTTATCTCTTCATTCCTGAAAAAGAAAAGAAAAAAAGATGAAGAGAAAATGAAACAACAAGAGCAAACAGGGAGGCAAAAGAAGGCGAGAGAAACTGCAGAGTGTCAGTTAACACCTCTGCGAGATTCAGACGTTCACTGACTACACAATGCTGGGTTTGCCTGGCTTTAAGGAATGTGAGACATTTCGGGAGCCGATACCGGTCTCAGACAAACATTCAGCCTGCATTTGCTGCTTAGGGGAAGCTCATGTGCCCCCAATATGTGATCATTGCTGCAGTCTCACAGCCAGAGCCAGGGGAGATAGGGAGATCCAGCTCCGAATGATTTTGTTCAAGAAAGCTATTCAACTGGCTGAGGACTCACAATCCTCTTTGCCTCCAGGGCAGGCTCAGTACAAAAAGAGTTACCTCCCTGCTGCCCCACAAATGCCCAGAAAAGAGACCGTCCCCCTTGAAATCATTGTCTCCCAGTGTGGCCAAAGGGAACACACCGGGCACTTCTGGCACCATGTAGTAGGCTCTTAGTCTGGCACAGCTACTGCCGCACTGCGAATGGCCCCAGTGCCAAAAAAAGCATCATCGGCGCCACAGAGCTTTCACCGGTGTGCGTCCACATCGGTGCCGGCAATACTAAGAGACGTGGCACCGACAAAAGTGGCACCATCAAACAAACAGCCCGCACACAAGGGGCTCATGTCAAACCCATGCTCCTCAGCACCTGAGCCAATACCTCCCCCCAAAGGGACCTCGGCACCGGCACATTCCGCTCACCATGACAGGAGCCAGGCACAATGCGCTTTGCTGGCACCTGAGATAAGCAGCAGGCATGGCGCTCCTCTCCTCCCGCCCCCTCCAGGGACACTTCTCCACTGCCATTCTCAACGTATGCTTCCTCACACTATGTGGGTTCTCCTGTACTTTCTGAGCATGTTGTGTTTCATGATGATGATCAGAGGAACTTTTTCTCATCACTACGCTCCTCCCCCACTACTTATCATCATCTCTGTTACCACCACGGTAGACCACGGCATCCGCTCTGGTATTCGGAGTGGCCATATTCTCAACCCCACCACCCTCCCTGCTGGTCGTCATGGGACCACTGCGTTTCACGTAGAAGACGGTCCACAGCCGCATCTACTCCAGCAAGGAAACCTCCTCCACTCTTGCCAGCCCGTACCATGCCAACCACTGTGGACTCGGACGACAAGGAGGGTCAAATCCCTGATGAACACATGGAAGTCCAAGACCATGGAGATTTTCCAGCCGATAATTGATCATCATCCCCTGATGAAGCGGTAATACCAGAAGATTCTCACCCGACAGATGATTTGAAGCAATTCCAAGAGCTTTTCAGAAGAGTAGCTGTGAGAGAAGACGTCCAGCTGTAGGAAGTCAAGGAGAAACAACATCGTCTCCTGAAGAACATTTAGTCTCAGATGAAATTTGGCAAATGCCTGCTTAGCTGCATAGCAGCAAGGTCTCACGTACTACACTTCGAACACTTGGCATGTACACATCTCCGTATCACCGGAAGCATTATACCCCATAGAACAGAAATAGAGACAGCTATCACAACTGTGCACAACAAAAGCCATACGACTATAACCGTCCCAGACAATGAACTCAAAGAAAGTGCCCACCTCAGTCCTGGTCTTCCAGTTCCCAGGCAACTAGGCAGCAAATTTGAACATTTGGTCGAGGGTCCGCCCGACTTCTCCTTTCATCCTCTGCCAACAAGCCACTACCACCTGTTCACCAACAGACTTTGTCTCTTTTACCGCCAATGGGACTCTATAACATCAGACTAGTGGGTGCTAGAAATCATCCGCGCAGGATATGTCATCTCCTTCACATCTCTTCCCCTTACCCTTCTCCCTTCCCTGTCCCTCTTCAGGGATTCCTCTCATGAAGCTCTTCTCAAACAAGAAATCGATCACCTCCTCTATTTAGGAGCAATAGAGAGGGTACTGGATGCTTTCTGGGGAAGAGGAGTCTACTCCAAATACTTCCTGATTCAGAAGCGCACAGAGGGCTGGAGACCTATATTAGATCTCCGCAAGCTAAACAAATTCCTGCGGAAACAACGATTCAGGATGGTAACTCTGGCTTCAATTATACCAGCACTGGATGAAGGGGACTGGTTCACAGCCCTCGACCTACAGGACGCATATTTTCACATCCCCATACACCCATCACACAGATGGTACCTCTGATTCACTGCGGGCGATGACCACTTCCAGTACAGAGTCCTACCTTTCGGCTGTCCTCTGCCCCCCTGGGTCTTTTCAAAGGTCCTTGCTGCAGTTACAGCTTACCTCCGGCAGCAGGAAGTCGTGATCTTTCTATACTTAGGTAACTGCCTTATAAAAGGCCAGACCCATGTGGAAACTACCAACATAGCCTCAAGAACCAAACATTTGTGCTATCATCTGGGCCTCCTGATAAACGAACAGAAATCAACTCTGGAGCCCGCACAGGGCATAGAGTTCATTGGGGCCTGTCTCGACTCATTGACTCCCACACCACCACTTCACTGAGCTATGCGACCTCGTGACTATATTAACTACCGGCCCTTCCACTACGGCACTTACCTGCCTCCAATTGATGGGACATATGGCTCCCACCACTTGCGTCGTCCAGTATGCATGCCTCCATTTCTGAGCTCTGCAGCACTGGCTAGCATCTGTCTACCAGCCTGCTCATCATTCTCTGCACAAGCAGGTCATCGTTCCCAAGAAGGTGCTGGACTCACTCAGATGATGGATGCTACCCAGAAACCACCTAGCAGGAGTACCCTTTCACCAACCCAAACCATCGATACAGATTACGACTGATGCCTCCTTCATGGGCTGGGGCGCACACCTGCACCAGTACGTCGTTCAGGGCAAATGGTTGCTGCACGAATCTGCCCTGCATATAAGTCTCATCAAACTCAGGGCTGTGATGAATGCTTGCAACCACTTTGTCACCATCATCGCCAATCGTGCTGTGCATATACTTACCGACAATATGACCACAATGTTTTATATAAACAGACAGGGAGGGGCCCACTCCCCGTCACTCTGTGCAGAAGCAACCTACTTCTGGAATTGGTACATCCATCACGGGATCACCCTCAAAGCGTCATACTTACCTGGGTGGACAACATCTGGGCAGACGCGCTGAGCCGCAATTTTTCAATCGATCATGAGTAGGAACTACACTCCACAGTGCTTATTTCCATCTTTTGCCATTGGGGATATCCTTCCATAGATCTCTCTGCAACCCCCAGCAACACCAAGTGCTCCCGCTTCTGTTCATGAGTGGCACTGGGCAAAAGTTCCCAGAACATTCCTGGGATCCACTGGGACAAGCCCCTACACTACACTTTCCCTGCCATCCTATTCATTCCCAGAATCCTATGCAAGATCTGTACGGACTGAGCTCTGGTCATCTTCCTAGCTCCATCATGAGCCAGACAAACCTGGTTCCCATACCTACACTTGATGTCCATAGCAAGGCCTTATTGCTCCTGTCCCGTCACGATATCCTCTTCCAGGATGGAGGCAAACTGCTTCAGCCCCAACCCCACACGCTTCACCTGCACGCGTGGCTCCTGTCTGGTTCCACGGAACAGAATCCCTGTTCAGAACAAGTGAGATCTGTTCTTCTACTGAGTAGAAGATCATCAACCAGAGCCACTTACCTGCAGAAATGGAAGCGGTTTTCCTCTTGGTGTCAGCAGGTCACAACATACCACTTCATTATATTCTCAACTACATATACCACCTGAAAACCGGAGGCTTATCAATCTCCTTTGTCAAAGTACACCACAAACTGATAGATGGATCATCTGTCTTTACACACCCCATAACAAGGAGGTTCCTGAAGGGTCTCCAGAACATCTACCCTCCAAATAATGTTCCTCCCCCTTCTTGGGACCTGAACCTAGTTCTGGACTGTCTCATGAGATCTCCCTTTAAGCCCATAACAACTTGCCCACTCCTACTAATTAAGGTGTTATTCTTGACAGCCATCATCTCTACAAGGAGAGTTAGTGAGACAGGAGCCCTCAGGGTGGGTCCACTATATACAATCTTTACCAAGGACAAAGTGACCTTACGACCATACCCAACATTTTTACCCAAGATCAGCATGGCTTTCCATGTCAACGAGCCCATCGCACTACCAACATTTTTCCCAAGCCTAATGCATCTGCCAGGGATGCGATGCTCCTTACCCTCGACATCTGCAGGGCTCTGGCCTTTTATATAGACAGGACACAGTAATTCTGGAGGTCCCCACATCCGTTCATATCCATCACGACACATTCAAAGGGCACACCAATTTCTGTGCAACATTATCTCCAAATACATAACATCGTGTATACTGCCGTGCTGTGCCCTCCGCAACAAACCATTGACAGTTCCACTGAATGCATGTTCGACCCATGCCACTGCAACTTCCACGGCTTTCCAAGGCAACGTGGCCCTTAAGGACATGTACCTAGCTGCCACTTGGTCATCAGACCACACTTTTGCCAGACACTATGCCATAATGCCTCAATTGGCAGCAGGTACAGTAGTGGACTGCCGTGCTGTGCCCTCCGCAACAAACCATTGACAGTTCCACTGAATGCATGTTCGACCCATGCCACTGCAACTTCCACGGCTTTCCAAGGCAACGTGGCCCTTAAGGACATGTACCTAGCTGCCACTTGGTCATCAGACCACACTTTTGCCAGACACTATGCCATAATGCCTCAATTGGCAGCAGGTACAGTAGTGGCTATGTGGTATTATCTTCCCCTGCCAAGAAGTGACTCCAAATCCCACCATCCATGGCTAGTACTGGTTTGTAGTCACCAGGGCTGTGTCCAGACTCAGGAGTTTTTTCGAAAAAAGTAGCCTTTTTTCGAAAAAACCTCACCTGCGTCTAGACTGCAGCCGCGTTCTTTCGAAATTAAATCGAAAGAACGCGGCTTTTCTTTCGATGGTGGTAAACCTCAATTTACGAGGAAGAACGCCTTCTTTCGAAAGTTCCTCTTTCGAAAGAAGGCGTTCTTGAATGTAAATAGGGCTTCTTCGAAAGAGAGCATCCAGACTCACTGGATGCTTTCTTTCAAAAAAGCAAGCCGCTTTTTCGAAAGTTCAACGTGCAGTCTAGACGCTCTCTTTGCACCCATGGAGGCATCACCTGAAGAAGAAAAGAAAGCTACTCATCCTGTGCAGTAACGACTTCTTCGAGGCGTGTTCCCCCGTGGGTGCTCCACAACCCTCCCTCCCTCCCCTCTACTCGGCGTCTTAGTCACTTGGGCGGAGAGGAACTGAAGGGGGAGTCGGGCCGGGTGCGCAGTGCATCAAAGCGAGAGCGGCATGAGGTGCTCTTGACGCATGTGCAGCCCGCTGACAACTGCTCAAAAAAGCTCCACTCTGCAGCTCTGGGAAGTTCCATCACCTACAGGGGAGCACTCACGGGGACACACACCTTGAACAGTCATTACTGCACAGGGTGAGTACTTCCTTTTGCTTCCATACATTCAATACTCAAATTGCTCCACGTGCTCAATATTGAATTGCTCAGATACCTTTATTTTTATTACACGAAACAGATAGTTTCCCACATGATTACATGAGGGCCTGGTGCAGCTTGCTTCTCACTTGCAGTTAATACATAGCTACACGTCTAGTCATAGTCACCTCTCGTTCATTGGCTGCATTAGGTCAAAGTTTTCAAGGGAGCGGTGTAACTCTCTGAGTGTGACCCCCAGGCCTCTGCTGGGTTCAGTGGAGTTCAGAGAACCTGCACTGTAATGACGCTGAAAACTTTGCCTATCACAATGGGTTAGGGATTACATTTGGGTTAGGGATGTGAAAGTGTAGTTGTGTACATGGTTAACTGATGAGCCTGGGCTCATTAGTTAACCTTCATGGTTCCACGCAGCCCTCCCCGCCCAACACCTCATGAGTAAGAGGAGCAGGAAGCTGGTACTCACCGGGAGCTGGCTTTGAAGCTGGCTCTCCACAAGCATCAGCTCCTGGAGAGCCACCTGCCCCCCACCCTGGCTGCTGCCTCTGATACAGTAGGGGGGTGGAGAAGGAGCCAATATGCGGTTACACTTACACAGTTTTCAGCAGTTACATGTTTACCTAAATAAGCTCATTTTAGCATCCTTGGTCTGGGTCCCTGACTGGAATTCCAGTTCTGAGCACCCTTGCAGTGTGCAAACGTTGAAGCTGGGGGCTCATCTATACACTGTCTAAAGGAACTCTTGTTTAACTAGAAAATCTTGAAGAGAAGAGCAAAATGTAGGAATCTCTTAAACCAGCCCTCTTTTTTCCCCCCTCCCAACATGTGCTTTCTTGTCCCTTGTTCAGGGAAGGCTCTGTCATGCTGCAGATTGATGTGAACACCGAAAAAGGTGGACTGAAGGTGAACAAACATTTCCTAGTGGATTTTGGGAAAGAACCGAATGGACCCGTACTCGCTCATGAGCTCCGCTACCCCGGTGGAGACTGCAGCTCTGATATCTGGATCTAATTGTGGCATGTAGGTGCTTGTTGGGGTGTGTGGGTGTGTGTGTCTCGCTCTCTCATCTCAATGATCGGTGTATAAAGGCATAGGTGGGTCTGATCAGATGGGGCTTTGTCACTACAGCTGTCTAGATTTTCGTGGGTGCTAAGCCACAGAAGCCCTGTACCTGCTTGCATGCTCCTGGCTGAGACAGCCAAGGGCATGTCTCCAGCCACAGAATATGGTGTCTTGCTTATTTCTCTACGCTCTCCTATGCTTGATGGCCTGTCTATTCACTGATGGCCATAAACATGTAGGAGTCTGACTCCTGGGGGTCATCTGTAAAGAGGGATTCTGGCAGCTGCCTTCATGCCAAAGTCTCCTAAATGATGCTACAGACATTAACATCTTGCTAGACTTCCTAAATGGGAAGAGTTAATGGAGGGGCCAGGGCTATTTGGGGCACGTATATGAACCCTTCTGCCAGGTAGCGCCGGCAGCAGCCAGAGACAGGTTCAATATTTAGGGGTTCCTTTTCATCCGTCTCATACAGAACTGGCTTGAGCCCCCACCCAGTAGCCTGGGAAATTCACACACACCTAGGCGCCTCTGAGAGGCAATGCTTTTATAATTAGGCTTGGACTTAAATTCTTCTCCATCCAGTCTCTGGGCCTAATAACAAGGAACCTGTGATCTGCATGTCTAGGGTGGTAGCCAAGACCAAATACAACAGCCCTGTGCCAGCACAAGGCTCCAACCATTCTTTGTAATGACTAGTTTCCTATTTTAATCCCATACAAGAGAGTGGTGGAAACATTGATTTTTCTCTTTCCAGTAAACTTTAATCATTCAAGCTTTAGAGGGTTTTTTTGTACTCAAACATTAAATGGATTAAGGTAAAGTGAAAATGTAAAGCACAATAACTGAATACTGCATGTAGGGACACCCTTATTCCAGCACAGAGAACTTGTTTCTGTTTAATTTCATGCATTTATGATTTAGTCAATGGCCTATTGCACAGCATTGTGTAAACAGGATTGGGTTGTAGACCAAAAATTGATGTCTGTTTCCTGAAGCTGGTTTGTATTTTCTTTCTTGTGCAGCAACGGAGCACTGAAACTGCTTAAACAAATAATAAAATTGTTTTTTGCACCACTTAAATTTCCATGTCCTAACTTTTAACTCTTCCACATCTTTCAGGGAGCAGAATATGTAAGAGAGTGATTCATTAATCATGTTTCTAAAAATGAAGGAAACCTGTGTGCCTAAAATCTCTTATGGGGCGGGCCCTACCAAATTCACAGTCCATTTTGGTTCATTTTGTTAAAAATTGCAAATTTCAGCAATTTAAATTTGAAATTTTCTCATGTTGTTGTAATTGTAGGGGTCTTTACTGAAAAAGAAGTTGGAGGAAGGGTTGCAAGGCTTTGCTGGGGGATTGCAGTACTGCTGCCCATAGTTCTATGCTGGGCAGCTGGAGGGCAGTAACTATTGCCTGGGAAGTCCTGCAAGCAGCGGTGCAAAAATAAGGACGGCCTGGCATGGTATTGCCACTGTGTCTGTTCTGCTTCTGAGTGTCCAGAGAATAGCCACTACTCTGCACCCGCCCAGCTCTAGAGGCAGCGTGGAAGTAGGGGTGGCAGGACCATGACCTCAACCCCCTCACATAACCTTGTAATCCCTCCTGCAACTCCCTTTTGGGTCAGGACCACCAACTTGCAAAACACTGGTCTCCCCCAGTGAAATCTGTATAGCATAGAGCAAAAGCACTCAAAAGACCAGATTTCACAGGGGAAGACCAGACTTCATGGTCCATGATAATTTTTCATGGCCATGAACTTGGCACGCAAATGTTTTTTTAATTCCAGAAACCAGCTGGTATAAACCCGAGGGCTGTGTCTACACTGGGCCACTTATTCCGGAAAAGCAGCCACTTTTCTGGAATAACTTGAAAGCTGTCTACACTGGCCGCTTGCTTTTCCGGAAAAGCAATGACGATCTACTGTAAAATTGTCAGTGCTTTTCCGGAAAAACTATGTTGCTCCCGTTCGGGCAAAAGTCCTTTTCCGGAAAAACTATTCCAGAAAAGGGCCAGTGTAGACAGCACAGTAGTCTTTTCTAGAAAAAAGCCCCGATCGCAAAAATGACGATCGGGGCTTTTTTCCAGAAAAGCACGTCTACATTGGCCACAGACGCTTTTCCAGAAAAAGTGCTTTTCTGGAAAAGCATCCTGCCAATGTAGACGCGCTTTTTCCGGAAATACTTATAACGGAAAACTGTTCCGTTTTAAGCATTTCCGGAAAAGGGTGCCAGTGTAGACGTAGCCTTCCTGTTCCCAAAGACCAAAATATATTTATGTTACTGCTGCCAAAATCACTAGAACAGAGCCCGCTCTCCATTTATCTAGTAACTCTATCCTCAGTTCCTGATCAGTAAAATTGAGATAATGGCACTGTGGCTTACCACTGTGAGGCTACGTCTATACTATAAGGTTTTTGTGCAAAACCAGCCGTTTTTGCGCAAAAACCCGGGGAGTGTCCACACTTCAAGCGGGTTTTTGCACAAGAAAATCTACATCAATTGACAGCAGTTCTGCAGAAAAGGACCTGCAGATTACAGTGGATGAGAAGCTGGATATGAGTCAGCAGGGTGCCCTTGTAGCCAAGAAATCTAATGGCATATTAGGTTGCATTAGGAGGAGCATTGCCAGCAGACCCAGAGAAGTGATTATTCCCCTTTATTCTGCTCTAGTGAAGCCACATCTGGAGTAATGTGTCCAGTTCTGGGCCCCCCACTATAGAAAAGATATGGATGCATTGGAGAGGGTCCAGCGGAGGGTGACCAAAATGATTAGGGGGCTGGAGCACATGACCTATGAGGAGAGACTAGGGATTTGGGTTTGTTTAGTCTGCAGAAGAGAAGGGGGGGGGGATTAGATAGCGGCCTTCAACTTCCTGAAGGGAGGTTCCAAAGAGGATGGAGGGAGGCTGTTCACAGTAGTGACAGATGGCAGAACAAGGAGAAATGGTCTCAAGTTACAGTGGGGGAGGTCTAGGTTGGATGTTAGGAAAAACTATTTCCCTAGGAGGGTGGGGAAGCACTGGGATGGGTTCCCTAGGGAGGGGGTGGAATCTCCATCCCTAGAGGTTTTTAAGTCTCGGCTTGACAAAGCCCTGGCTGGGTTAATTTAGTTGGGATTGGTCCTGCCTTGGGCAAGGGGCTGGACTTGATGACCTCCTGAAGTCTCTTCCAGCTCTCTGATTCTATGACAGAACAGAGGGCTTTTTCTGGTGTAGGTATACCTCCTACGAGGCATAACTCCTTTTTGCGCTATAGGTCTTGCGCAAAAAGGCATGTGTGGATGCTCCACAGGGGTTTCTAGCACAAACAGAGCCTAACCAAAAAAGCACAGGTGCTCTGTTGGCCATTCTGTGAATGGCCTTTGGAGCTTTCTTGTGCCAGAACATCCATGCAGTGCGGACGCTCTCTTGCACAAAAGCACATCACAAAAGCGATGCACTTTGACGTGTGGATGCACTTTTCCACAAGAAGTTTTTGTGCAAGAACTCTTCGGCAAAAGACTTCTTGCACAAAAACCCTGCAGTGTAGACATAGCCTGAGTGTAAGGCCATGTCCACACTCAGGGTTTTTTTCGGGAAAAGTAGCCTTTTCCCGAAAAAACTTCCCCTGCGTCCAGACTCAAGCCGCATTCTTTCGAAATTATTTCAAAAGAACGGTAAACCTCAATTTACGAGGAAGAACGCCTTCTTTCGAAAGTTCCTCTTTCGAAAGAAGGCGTTCTTCAATGTAAAGAGGCCGTCTTCGAAAGAGAGCATCCAGACTCGCTGGGTGCTCTCTTTCGAAAAAGCGGATTTCTCTATCGAAAGATCCGCCTGCAGTCTAGACGCGATCTTTTGAAAGAAGCCTGCAGTCTAGACATAGCCTAAGGGACCAGAGCAACAGCAGTCTTGCCTAGCAGTCACAGCTGGGCTGAAATCTGCCCATTAGGGACAGGAGTGGGCAGGCTGGAGTTGGAGGACTCTGCAAGGCCAGGTCCCATAAATGAGAGTCAAACTAAGGGGCTGGGACTGGAGATCAGTTGTACCAGGTTAGAATTGAGAGATAGGAATCGGGGTGCAAGTCAGGCTGGAGCAGACCAGGGGATGAAAGCTTCAGAGTGGTAGCAGAGTTAGTCTATAAGGGTATGTCTTCACTACAAAGTTAATTCAAACTAACAGACGTTAGTTCGAATTAACTTTGATAGGCGCTACACATACAAACCGCTAGTTCGAACTTAATTCGAACTAGCGGAGCGCTTAATTTGAACTAGGTAAACCTCATTCCACGAGGACTAACACCTAGTTCGAATTAACTAGTTCAAATTAAGGGGTGTGTAGCCACTTAATTCGAACTAGTGGGAGGCTAGCCCTCCCCAGCTTTCCCTGGTGGCCACTCTGGGCACCACCAGGGAAACTCTTCTGCCCCCCTCCCGGCCCCGGAGCCCTTAAAGGGGCATGGGCTGGCTACGGTGCCCGTGCCAGGTGCAAGCCTGCCAGCACCCAGCCAGCAGACCCTGCACCTGGCA